ATTATAAGTTACAATCTTTCACGAGTCTAGATATCTTTTTAAACAAAATTAATGTTTTAAAATAGTTTCTCTAGAATAGTAAATCATTAATTTTATAACTTGTTTGTATAAATATCCCCAAACATTAGAATACTATGATAATAAACCGGTTTTTGTATTATTACAATATACTATGTTACAGATAGGTTTACTCTAAAAAATAATAATATGTTTGGTTTTAAACATATTTATCGTGAATGGAGATGTTCAATATATTTTATACTCTCTATTTATCAAACATCAGCTATGAAAATTAATCAATGGAAATGATAGAGGGTACTGTTGCACAGTTGGTGGCTCAGGCAAATGATATATTTTTTGTTTAATGTGTGAAATCAGTCACGTATTATGAAATTATATGGTATAAGGTTATAATAATGTATTATGGAGAAATAAAAATATTGACCGATAAGAGTAATGTATAATAAATAAGAATATTGACTAATTTATTGTTAGAGAAATATAAGGTAAGTTATATGATATAATGTTATTGTACAATATTGTTAGAGAAATATAAGGAAAGATAAAAAAAAATGTTAGTATAATGAAAAGGTCCAAACAACTTTTTTAAGTAGATTTATTTAGACTCCTTCTCTTTTAATAGTATAGATAGAACTTTACAAAAATCTTGAACATGACATAGAAAATATGTGGCAATTCAAACTGATGTAGTTAGACGTGAATCTTTATAAAACATGTAAAATGATGATTGTAATATAGTTTATATAATGTCTTTCATATAATATAATAATTAACCCGAAAATAGAAAGATTGTAAAAAAAAAAGAGTTTCACCACAAATGATTTTCAGCAAAAAAAAAAGAAAACTTTATAATGGGCCACACAGGCTTTAACACAAACAAAATTATAAGTTGGTTTAATCGAACAATCCCTCCTGCTAAACCGTCGCCGTTTCATCTCAAATACACCTCTCGCGGTCTGTGACTGGTTCGATTACACAATGACTCCAAAATCTAGTCCGGTTTAGTCACAAATCAATTTACCGTATTACAAATCAAAAACCGACAATTCAGGGGAAAGAAGAAACAGTGAACCCTTCTGTCATCGTTCCGACTTCAAGCTTCAATGGCTGCAAATCCGACATCGGAGCCTGTGGTGAATCTCCCGACCACGCCACAGGTCGCAGAGCCCTTAGGGGTAACTCTCCTTGTTAGGCACCTTCCTGATGGAATCCCTCATGATATCGTCTCTCGTCTCTTTTCTCAATACGGAGCTTCTGCTGTTCGTCCTTGTTCCGGTGGAAGGTAAAAAAAAAACAATCAACTATTACTTTCAATTTACTTGGAATTGAAGTTACTTAGAAGGTTTAATAAATTATGTATTGGAGACTCAAAAGGTGTTAAAGGCTCTTATTTTCGAAGAATAAGTTGAATTTTAAAAGTAGTTTCACATGACATGTAACATTTTGCTACAGATTAAGGAATGCTGCTTTTGTGGATTTCAAGAATGAAGCTATTGCTTCTCAAGCACATCGTCAGCTAAATGGGTACAAGTTTCTTCCTGGATGCTACACAACTTCCACTATTATGCTAGAGTTAGCCAATTTATTGATCTTTTTAAAAATCAATTTATGATTTGTGCAGGCTGAGGTTTCTTGGCAAGGTTCTTCAAGTACAGAGAGCTAATAAACCTAATGAGAACAAGAAGCCTCGTCAAAACGAAGAATCTGGGAAAGATGGTCAACTTTTCTCATTCTCAACTGTTAGCAGCAATGATTCAAAATCTGGGCAGGGACTTACTGGTGAACCAATTGCTCCTAAACTTGGCATAAACTATCCATTCCCTCCTCACCTGCAGTAAGTTTTTACTGCTCTTACTCTTTTTGATTTGGTTTCCACTTCGTATCACTCATTTTAAAAAAGCATTGGTATGTTTTTACCTGCTCTTACTCTTTCAGATTTGGTTTCCACTTTCACTCATTTTAAAAAAGATTGGTATGTTTGACTTGGTTCATCTTGCAGATATGCTTATCCACCACCCGATGCAAATATATTGGCCAACATTACTAATGCCCTTATCGCTGTCCCACCTTTATACACCCAGGTTAGCTCTACTCTGTCAGTGTGCAATAGATTTTTATTTTATTTCCAGTATCATCTGTAGATATCAACTATAGTGGAATGCAGAAAAGAGCAAGAGATGTAATCTTAAACCTCTTGATAACAGGTGCTGCATCTAATGAACAAAATGAATCTTCCACCTCCTTTTCGCCTTGCCTTGCCCACACCACCTCTACCTAAAGCAGCCCAGCAACCAACTGAGTTGGATCAACAATCTAGTAGCGAGTCAGAGATGGAGTCTGATGAGGTATGGCTCATTTGTGTTGTTGTTTATTTAACTCCTTTGGTTAGTGAATCTGTGTGATAATCGATGCAAATATGTCTATGAAATTTATTCTTTGTTATTGAGTACTTGGGTAAGAATTATGATTGTATTATGATTGCTTTACTCTTTTTATTCTTTGTTATTGAGTACTTGGGTAAGAATTATGATTGTATTATGTTTAGGATACAGGTACATCAAAATCAGGAAGGAAGCGTGCTAGACATGAAAATCTTGTTGGTCCTGGTATGGACAAGGATGTGTCACATGAGACTGTTGGAGTGAAGCCATCGTCTTTGACTCCCAAAGAGATGCCTCGGATAAGAAAGAATAAACATGTTATGCAGGTATCATATTATCCATCATTACCTTTCAATCATTACGCTGTGTAGTTGTGCTGATATTTGTAAGGTCTATGCCGGTAGATCAAGATTACCCAAAAAGTTCCTCAAGACGAACCTAAAGAGGATATTGAGCTTAAAGGCCCTGCAGAGGAGGAGCAAAGAGAAGAAGATTCTAATTTGAAACCGTTTGCAAGCTTAGAGGAGTTGGAGAAGGGAAGGTTACCTCCGCAGGATATTCTTTCACTGCCTATGTTCAAGGTATGGATACGAGGATCATGTTATAATATGTTTATGTTGAGAAGAACTTTTGTAATGGTGTGAGCCTGATTATCAGTTCCAGCCTTTTCTTTGGGTCATGATTGGCTATGCATACTTGTTACTAGGGACTCTCTAATCTATCCATGAAAAGTTATTTACTGAATGATAGTGTATCTTTTCTATGCAGCTCTTTAGTGACAGTTTTCCTAGTTCAAATGTAGAGTGTCCATCTCTGGAACAACATATTCATTGAGAGAAAATGCATTTTGTTTTTATTGTGTGCAGAACTACACAGCTGGGAATCCTTCGCTTGTGCTGTATATCAAAAATCTTGCCAAAGATGTTACCACTGATGATTTCTATTACATATTTGGTAAGATGTCTTAATTTACTGCTGCTACCTTGCCTTTCTGGAACTCAATTCAGAGCTAAACATTGGTGCACATGTAGGATCACAATTTGGAAGCATCGAAGCAGCCAAAACCAGTCTTGGTGTGAGGCTGATGCAGGTGATGCGTCCGTCTATGTAGTCTTTCATAAACTTATACTTTCGTTGGGTGATTATCAATCTTCTTGTTTATGGCTACAAACTAATGTGAGAAACTATAGGAAGGAAGGATGAGAGGGCAAGCTTTTTTGACATTTCCATCAGTTGAAGTCGCACATCGTGCTCTGGTAATAATCCTTAATAAATGTCTACGCCAGCTTGAATACTACATATACTGTATACCATTGACACGCATTTTGGCCTTGAATATAAGTCAAACGTGTTTCGTAAACCCACATAAGGAGGAAAGTGAATGATGAGTTGTTTGTGATTTTGCAGAATCTTGTAAATGGGTTTGTGTTTAAAGGAAAACCAATGATAATCCAGTTTGGCAGGAATCCTGGAGCAGCCAAGCCAAACGAATGATGGTATATATATAAAAGAGTTGTTTTTTTCTTGGTAAAATTAAATGTTTTAGAGTATTAATTAGCTGCAAAACCTTTTGGGGTCTTCATGTAACTCTTTGATTTGTATTGGTGCTTGATTTGTAGGCTGTGATCTGGAGAATGCTTCTTTAAGAGGGTTACTAAGCTGCTTGGAGTTAGAGAGAAACCATGGAGGTGACTTGTGCTTATGCCTAACATCTTTTGTGGCACTGGAAGATGTTAAAATTGTCATAGATTTAAGAAACTAACGGATGCTAGAGGTCTAAGCTAAACTTCCACACCATTCAAAATTAACAAAGCAGAACTTATAAGAATTTCTCTATTATTTAAGTCTTGTAATTATTGAACATAATGTTTTCTCAGGAGTCATTATCATTGTTAACTGAAGTTAGACTTTGAGTAGCTTTTAAGCTAACCTTCACACGAAGAAGAACCATCATTGCAAACATAAAAGCTAAAAGTTATGGGCTCAAAGTCGTGATTAATTTTGTTTAAAAAAGAAAATAACACACATGAGTGTTTTCCTCGGCCCATGCTTTTAGAATTGTTCTTCTAATATAAAAAGAAAATCCAACGGTGGTGATCACGTTTCAATCCAACAAACCAAGCGGTGTTTTTTACGAAATCTCCCGAGAGATCTGCTTCTATCTTTTTTTCTTCTTTTGTTTACTCCCCACGAGAAAAGCACACTTATTTTTGTTATAACCACCTACCGCTAATATTCACCCACGTGTCACCTTTCCTTCGCCGTTTCATCCAATACAATAACGCCACCTCACTTTAAATGACAAACGTGTCTGACGTGTTTATTGTTCATTGGATGACGTGGAGGCAGATATACAACGTGGCAAAAGATACTATCCGTGAGAGCAACTTCACTTAACAGCTTTCTGTATAAATATCTCCAGGTCTTATTCAACAACCTCTAATCTCAGTGAAGCAGGCTCCGATCTGAGTTTTAGCTATGGCGAAACTAACCCTTAGCCTCCTCTCGTTGATCCTTATCGGTCTCGTCGCGATCGCTTCCGCCGCAGTTATCTTCGAGGAGCGCTTTGATGGTAGCCTACTCTTTTCCTCTCTGTATCTATCTGTATTGTTCAGATTCGTATGATTCAGTGATTTGTTTGTTCGTATTTTGTCTTGCGAGATGTGTTCATCAATGTGAGTTTCAAATTTGTGAATGCTGTGAGTTAATGATCCATTTTCGATCATACAAGGATAACATCGTTTTCATCGGATTAAGATGATTGTGATTACGGATCTATCAGTTTTTGTGGATTCATTGATTTTGAAATTATAATCGGAGATCTTGTGAAATGGTTGAAACCGTTTGATTTGATTATACTCTACGAGAGGAAGGAGTTATCTATTGATTAACTCTGAGATGATAGTTCGCATAAGTATTGCTACTTTTAATCTAAACCTTGAGTGCAATCTTTGTTAATTTTCCGATTAGATTTCACAGTGTTATATTGTCACTTGCAGTCTTAAAGTTTCAACTCATTTATAGAATTTGTCTCTGTTGATGCTCTGAACTTGATGTATTTGTTGATTATTTACATCATTTTTTCTGTTTTTGTTTCTAAAGATGGATGGGAGAACAGATGGGTTAAATCTGAATGGAAGAAAGATGACAAGTCTGCTGGGGAGTGGAGCCACACTGCTGGAAATTGGTCTGGTGATGCTAACGATAAAGGTATGGTTCATTCAGCCTTCAGAGCTAGTAACGGACTCACGATTCATTACTTATTTTTTTGTTAATGCTGTGTTGAAACTCTCATTGTATTGCAGGTATCCAGACCAGTGAGGACTACAGATTCTACGCTATTTCAGCTGAGTTCCCTGAATTCAGTAACAAGGACAAGACCTTAGTCTTCCAATTCTCAGTCAAGCACGAGCAGAAGCTTGACTGTGGTGGTGGCTACATGAAGCTGCTCAGTGGTGATGTTGACCAGAAGAAATTTGGTGGTGACACCCCATACAGGTACATTACATAGATAGTCACTTTAACAATCACAACATCATTAGCTGACATTTATTTTTATACATAACAACCTTCTTCTTTTTTTTACCTGCAGCATTATGTTTGGTCCTGATATCTGTGGATACAGCACTAAGAAAGTACATGCTATCCTTACCTACAATGATGCCAACCACCTGATCAAGAAGGATGTTCCGTGTGAAACTGACCAGCTCACCCATGTGTACACTTTCATCCTCCGCCCAGATGCTACTTACAGTATTCTCATTGACAATGTTGAGAAACAAACCGGTAGCGTGTACTCTGACTGGGATCTTCTCCCACCAAAGAAGATCAAGGACCCCAGCGCCAAAAAGGTATGTGATGAGGACAACCAGACTAAACTGATAAATCAACTACTTGTATCTCAGTTATAGACCGAACAAAGAACAAGCCAGACCAAACTCATGCAATCTGATTTTTTTTTTACAGCCTGAGGACTGGGACGAGCAAGAGTACATTTCAGACCCTGAAGACAAGAAACCTGACGGATACGATGATATCCCAAAGGAGATCCCAGATACCGATGCAAAGAAGGTTTCTACATTTTGTCTAATAGTTGATTCAATATCTTAAACCCCTTGCTGTGTTCTGTATATGCTTATTTTTTCTTTGTGCCCTTTCTCTTAGCCTGAGGACTGGGATGAAGAAGAAGATGGTGAGTGGACTGCCCCGACCGTTCCCAACCCTGAGTACATGGGTGAATGGAAACCAAAGGTTTGTCAATCTCGCTGTCAAAAAGTATATATAACCTTTTTCTTCTTCTCAAGGTTGTCATATATTTCTGTAGCAAATCAAGAACCCCAACTACAAGGGCAAGTGGGAGGCTCCAGAGATTGACAACCCTGGTAAGATTCTACTCTCTGCATTTAGTAATACATATCTTTTGTTCAGTTTATATCAGGTTCGTATAAGTGTTAACTCTACAACCCAACATGCTGCTTTTATGTTCTTGCATGAACTCACATGAAATTTTAGCTTTCCAAGACATAATATCCAACCATTACCGTGCCTAATTTAACTGATTTCATGCAGACTTTAAGGATGACCCAGAGCTTTATGTCTTCCCCAAGCTGAAGTATGTTGGAATCGAGTTGTGGCAGGTAAATAAATTTTGTCACTGTGACATTTTGTCTTCCGAGACCTGTTTTGGGCCCATGACTCACCTAAAAATACATATCTCATTTCGTTCAGGTGAAATCAGGATCATTGTTCGACAATGTCTTGATCTGCGATGACCCAGACTACGCCAAGAAGTTGGCAGATGAAACATGGGGAAAGCTCAAGGATGTACGTGTTTAAAACATACCCATCTACATGAGCAAAACTGTTTGTTTCTGGTTACTGATAAGAATAGCGAATATAATCTCTCCTATTGCAGGCGGAGAAAGCAGCTTTCGATGAGATTGAGAAGAAGAAAGAGGAAGAGGAATCCAAGGACGCTCCTGCGGAGACTGATGTAAGTTTTGATGTACTAAGACGTAGTCTTTTTTTTTTTTTGCTCCTTGTGCCAAGGTCCTGGACTGATATCATCGTGTATGAAATTGTTTTCCAGGCTGAAGATGAAGCAGGGGAGGATGAAGGAGATGAATCAGATTCTGAATCTAAGACCGAGGAAACCTCAGAGGAGAATGACGCCACCGCTCATGTATGTTAAGAAAAATACTTGCCTTTGAAGATTCTACTCATTCCATTTTGTGTTGTTTTGGTTGATTAAATTGATGGTTATATTGGGTGATTTTGTTTTATGCAGGATGAGCTGTAAGGGAAAGAACGTTGAAGATTGAAGACCAAAGTTTTTGAGTCTCTTTTATTTTGTTTTTATCCTTTCTTTTGAAGTACTTTAGCAAACTAGCCTGTCGGAGGTAGAACAAGTTTTTAGCAGTTTTAAAAGTGGGGCAAATGTGTGGGCGAGTAGGGGTACAATGATGCAAGAGGCTCTTTTTGTACTGAAAACCATAAGATGACATTTTGCACTTACATCTCTTTCTCTACTCTTCTTGTTTCTCTGCTAGCCAACGTGATTAGTAATTAGTATTAATCCCATCAAGTTTAAATCCCGGATTACAATTGAAAACTCATACATGCTTGAACTTTATTTTACTCTATACAATGGCCAACAAAAGTTTTGGTCCCTGCAGGGCTGCATCTATAAGATAAGCAATCCTCAAAGAACAAACCAGCAAAATCAAACTACTTCACAAGAGTTGTTCTTATACACCATAACCATTTGGACTTGGGTATATATATTTTGTAATTAAATGTGGCTTGCTTTCCTGGCAGTCTTGTAGAGACAAACTCATCTCCTGCCAACCATCTCTCTTTTGGCTCTCTCACCTACCCGGAGAAAGAAAATTCTATTAAAGTCCAATCAACAAAGCAAACGTATTAAAAAGATCCTAACCTCTGATTCTTGAATCGGACGGTTCACATTGGTTCAAATGACGTCAACGACAACGATAGTGACCAATCAGGAGGCTCCACATCAAGTCACCAGCTCTCCATCACCCACGTGTTAATTATTCCCTTTTTCCTTTTTGTATAAATTAATAAATGATTTCACTCATCATCAAACAAAACCTTTTCTATTTGATTTTTGGTTCTTCTCTCTCTCGATTAGATCTCTGAATACGAAGATCATAAAAGTTTGTCTGAAGAAGACGTTGTCATGTTTTTGTTCGATTGGTTCTATGGAATCCTGGCCACGCTAGGGTTATGGCAGAAAGAGGCGAAGATCTTGTTTCTAGGTCTCGACAATGCAGGAAAAACTACTTTGCTTCACATGCTCAAAGACGAGGTGATTTTTTTTGCTTTATTCGAACACCCTATTGTGTATTGAAACATGTATAAAGAGCTTGTAATGAAAGGTGCGAAACCAAACATACTTAATCTCGATTTCGCTGTCTTGTCTAATACAGAGATTAGTTCAGCACCAGCCAACACAGCATCCAACATCTGAGGAACTGAGCATTGGCAAAATCAAGTTCAAGGCCTTTGACTTGGGTGGCCATCAGATTGCCCGTAGGGTCTGGAAAGATTATTATGCTAAGGTTTTAATCATCTCTCTTAATTGCATCTCAATATATTACAAAAAGTGATAATCTCTTTGATGATAGCTCTTGGACATAGTTATGGTACATGGCAGAGTATTGAAAGCTGAGAAATGTATGATCTATGTTTGAATAAATTGGCTGTTTATGTTGTGAATCTATGTCTTTGCTGATACAAACTCTTTTCTCTGTGTATGTGTGTGTAAAGGTTGATGCTGTTGTGTACCTGGTGGATGCTTACGACAAGGAGAGATTTGTGGAGTCAAAAAGAGAGCTTGACGCTCTTCTATCAGATGAAGCATTAGCAAGTGTCCCCTTTCTTATCCTTGGGAACAAGATTGATATTCCTTATGCAGCTTCTGAAGATGAGCTTAGGTTTCACTTGGGTCTCACTAATTTCACTACCGGTAAAAGCAATGTGAGTCTTGGAGAATCTGCTGTTCGTCCTCTTGAGGTCTTCATGTGTAGCATCGTCCGCAAAATGGGATATGGTGAGGGATTCAAATGGCTTTCTTACTACATCAAGTAGGAAACCAAACAAGTATTGGTGATTTTGCTTCACGGTTTTATGAAATCAGACATCTCATTTTTCTCTCTTTCAAAAAGACATAATCCCTCTTGTAGTTTGCTTAAGTTCTAATACTATGTGTTAAGTCGATGGCTTACAACTATAAAACAAAAGTATGATTCTGAATGTGAAGTGGTGTAATCACTTTGATATCAAAAAGAATACGAGCTACTTCTCAGGATGATACATTGCAAATGGTGCTTTGACCTGTAGATTTTCTCAGAGATTTCTTCTTCATCAACGCTCTTACCTTCTCTACATCTTCCCATCTCCCTTCTTCTGCATACAGATTAGATAACAACACATAATTCCCTGAATTCTCCGGCTCAATCCTCACCAACTCCATAGCTGCAACCTCTGCTAGCTTCACATCTCCGTGACTGCGACAAGCACTGAGAAGCGAACCCCACATGGCTGCATTGGCCTTTACAGGCATACTTTCGAGAAACTCAAACGCCTCTTTGATCCGTCCGCTCCTGCTCATTAGATCAACCATGGCACCGTAGTGCTCAATGCTCGGCTCAAGCTTGAACTTCTCCATCATCAAACCAAACAACTCCTCTCCTTTCTCGACCCGACCAGTGTATGAGCAACATGCTAAAACTCCTAAGAACGTCGCTTCGTTTGGAGCTACTTCTCCTTCCTGGATCATAGAATCAAACAAGTCTATCCCAAACTCTCCATTCCCGTTCACTGCTGATCCAGATATCATAGTGTTCCACGAAACCACGTTCCTCCGCTGCATTTTCTTGAATATAGCCTTCGCAGACTCCAAGTCACCGCTTTTGCAGTAGAAATCTACCAAAGCGTTTCCCACAGTGACAAAATCTTTAACCAAACCTTTAGATTCTGCTGTTTCATGAATCCATTTCCCAGTCTCCAAAACTCCAAGAGAAGCAGAGATAGGCAACACTGTCACCACAGTAGCCTCATCTGGTTCAAAACCTTGATCAACCATCTCACAGAAAAGCTCCAACGCCTCGCGGCCTCTCCCACATTTCGACAAGCTTGAAATCATCGAGTTCCACGACACAACGCTCCTCTCACTCATCGTCCGAAACAAACCAAAACCTCTTTCAACATCCCCAGAGTCACAAAACCCACGAATCATCAAGTTCCAAACCACAACGTTTCTCTCAGGCATTTCATCGAACACCTTCTGTGCATCACCCATCCTCCCACTCGAAGCATAAAGCTCCACAACCCCGATCCTAATCGAACCAAGCCGATGCAACCCAGTTCTAACAACCTCACCGTGAACACATTCCCCAAACCTCAAATCAGAAAAGGACGCACACGATTTGAGAAGAGGCGCGTAGGTATACTCGTCGGCCCAGATTCCGCGGGATTTCATGGAAGAGAAGAAAGAGAGAGACTTTAGAGGTGGGCCCACGAGGGAGTAGCATTTGATGATGGAGTTGAAGACGAGGACGTTAGGGTTTTGGATGTGAGCGAAGACGCGCGAGGCGTAGTCGGAGTTGCGAAGGGATCCGCAGATGGAGATGAAGTGGGCGAGGAGGAGGTTGGAACCGTGGAGGAAGTGGCGGAGGAGGTGGGCGTGGATTTCGGGTAAACGGGTTCGAGTGTTGTGGCCGTGGAGGAGACGGAGAAGCTTCCTCTCGATTTCCATTGAAACCTCTGCTCATAAGCTGTCGTTAGCTCTGTTTTTGAAAAGAAGCAAGCTGACTCTTAGCGCCAATTTCTCGGTTCGTTACGGTTAAGTATAATTTATACGCTTGCTTTTCCAATATATTCATAGCATTAACAAATACAGTATATTAAATGCTCAGTCAATTTCTCTGATTGAATTGGTATCATGTTTAATAAGTATTTCACAAAGAGAAGATAAAATAATTTTGTGAAAAATAAAAAGAGAGTCTACAAGAAAATTTACATAAATAATTTTTTTATGAAGTGGAAAAGCAGAATAAGTGAAAAAGCAGAATAAGTGAAATATTTGTAAATGTAAAAAATTAACTAAAAAATGATTAGTACAAGTATTTGGTTTTGATGCAGATATTTGATGGACACAATGGTAATTCACCTGTCATATATACTAAGTAATATCTTCTAGATATTTGATGGACACAATGGTATTTTCAAACTGGCAAAAATTGTTTAAGCTGTAGTTAACCTTTTTAGGTTTCAAGTGTTGGTTGGTTTTTTGGTGCTTCACATTTTTTTAACAATAGGTTTTACAAAGGATATAGTAAAAAAAATTACATGCATATAAATTGTATATTTATTTTAAACATAGATTGTATTCAGTAGCCTAAAAAACTAAAATTTGCAAAGTAGCCAAAATTCTATCTTATCTCCTCATTCTTGTTTCTATCTCTTTCTAACTTCTTTCTAAAAAACTAATTTTGATTTTTTCTTGATTATTTCACAAATTGTCCCGTAAAACCAAAACTTAAAAAAAAACTGCAATTTGGAAAGTCATGTTAGTAACAAATGGTCACTGAAAAGATGATAGAACATGCAAAATAGATTTTCAGCTGAAAATTGATCTATTTGGCATACTGCACATTTTAAGATTCAGTGTTCACATTTGAGGGAAGATCATTTCCCATTCTGCATTTCATACCAACCAGTATTAGAAACTATTAGTTACTATTTAATAAATTGGTTGGATAAGAGTTGGCAATATCAATTCCTTGCATTGTTTTCTTTTTTCTTGATATCGCTTGTTGAATTTTATTGCATTATTTTTTTATGTTGTCACATGTTTCTTTATCTTTACTGGACTGTTTGGATTTCTGAGTTTATTTTCATATTGCTTAGAGGATTTCACATAAAGTTATGGTAATTCTTTTTAAATAAAAAAAATTGTGATGTATTTTTTGTGCATTTTATATCTTATACAAAACTTAAATGATTTCAGCTTTTAGGTAGATATAAAGTATATATATTTTTATGTTCTCGCCGTATGTATTGTTATGTTTCTCCAAAGTAACAAATGGAAGCTCCTTTCAAGCTTGCTATTTGCGATACTGGTGTGTCAACTCTTTTGCCATGGAATCACGTTTACGTGTGTAGGGCTAACTATGCTTGCTGGGGAAATATAATGAAGGTAATTTTCTTTGTCCGATGTAATTAGGTGAAGTTATGAACTTATGACATTATAACCTTTGTTGTTGTAAATTTAGATGATCGTCGCATTCTTCTTCTACAAACTTGTGACTACAAACTATGTCTTTACCACTGCTGGTAATTTCTAACTTTTAGTATATCATGTTTTGTTTTGTTTAACATTATTGTTTCTGTTTTTTTTCCTTGATAACAATTGTTGAAATTTATTTCAGCATTGTCTTCTGCTGCCACACTTGTGCTCATCTTTGTTTCGGTTTTGGATTTGCAGGTCGTTTCCAGATGGTTCTGAGGCTTTTCAGATAAATTTTCATGTCTTTGCACTTTTATTAAATTGGTATCGTTTTCTAGATAAAGAACAATGATGCATTTCTTTGATCTGATGTAGAAACTAAGGTGATGATTGTTTAGATGGTATTTAGATTTTTGTTTTTGTTTTTTGGATTTTAGTTTTTAGATTTTGGTTTTTAGTTTTTAGTTTTTGGATTTTGACTTTGCAATAGTTTTTAGTTTTTGAAAAAACACGAATGGCAGATTTTCGTTTTTGATTTTTTATTTTAATCTAATAAAATATTTTATTTAATTTATTTAATCTTAATTTTACTTTCTTTTTAGATTTCATAATAGTTTGAATGATGTTTTTCAGTTTATTTTCTAATCTAATAAAATATTTTCTTTAACTCTTTAATCTTAATTTTACTTTCTTTTTAGATTTCATAACAGTTTGAATGATTTTTTCAGTTTATTTTTGATATATTTGATTTATTTCTTGTTTGAAGTTGAAATATAAATTAATAACAAATATCCAAATTCAATTAAAGAAAAAAATTCTATTTCTGAATTCTTTTTTTTCTTGAAGGTTTTTGTTTTTCTAAAATTTGATTACTTATTTATTTTATTTTATGTTATTTTTAAATTTTAACATGTGACTTACTTTTTTCTTAAAAACATACAATTACTAAAAGAATATATCACAATTTGTTAAATAAAATTATACCAGTAGATTATTAACAAAACATGCAAATTTTAGATAATATTAAGTTTAAATAATTAATTTAATTAATATTCATGACAAATTTAAAGGAATGTTCTTAATATTTTTTTTTTTGTATTGTACTCCTTCTCTTTCAGAATGATCTATGTTTTAGGAAAAAAGTTCTTTTTAAAAGATCTATATTTTATATTTTCAATGTAAATAATAAAAAAAAAAATCAATTTCAAAGATATTAATTATGTTTACTGAATTTTAATTGTTTAAAAATCATATGAAATAGCTAAACACGGAAAATAATAGATTTACTACAAAATTTAACGTGTTTTCTTAATAAGTATGAAAATTCTAGAATATATATTATTTTGAAACGGAGGGAGTATATGTTAAAAAAAATTTTTACTAAAACTTATTTGCTTATAGTAGTTAGCACTTTATTTATTTTCCTATGTTAATGAGTAAATGAGACAAATAATTTTTGAACTTCTAGGGATCAAAAACATGTACGAGAACTTTGTTCTTATATGTAAATTTTATTTTGTTAAATTTTAATTAAGGAATATTTTTTTTTGTTTTAAAATTAAAATATGAAAAACTAACATGATGTTGTAGAAACTTGAAAAAGTGATTTCTGTTTTTTTCTTTAGAAAATAGCAGTTTGTTTCAAAAATCAGTTTCCCTAGATTATAGAAAATCTATTTTCTCAAAAATTTGATCGGCTAAAAAATTTGTGACATGGCATCTGATGTGGCACCCATTAGAAGGAAGGATGCACAACTTTATATAATAGATCGTCTCAAACAATGTTAAAAAAAAACATTGATTAACAGAATAGGACACGTAACCTTTCCAGAATTAATAAATCTTCACGCGCGAATGT